AGAAGCTCTTAGCGGTCATCTCCGCAGTGTGAGCGATGGAGCTCTCCAACAGCTCCAGGACTATATTCTGTTTCCCCTCAGATTTGTCCTCAAAACCCCTGGCTCAAAGCGGGAGGGACTCATCCAGGCGGTGATGGAAGCCTTGACGTATGTGCTGGAGAACACTTGCGTTCAGAGTTGGGATTCTCTGCGAGATCTGTTCTCGGAGCTGTGCCTTTGTCTGTGTTCCCCAAAAGACCCGGGAAAACCCGCCACAACCTCTGAGGAACTGAAGTTGGCTGTCCTTAGATGCCTGGACACCCTTATGCACTCTGCCTACGGTGACATTGTTTTTAAACTCTACGAGCCAAGCATGTTGCCTGGACTTGGAGCCGCCGTTTCACTACTTCTGGCATTAGCAGAGCACGAAAAGGCTAGAGGAGTTCAAACGGCTTCCCTTAAATGTCTCCTTTCTTTGTTTCAGCAGTGCGACTGCGTAGAGGAACACATTGAGCCAGGACGGGACGAGAGGTATCTGCTTGGACGCACCTTGGCCACTTTTTTACCTGGGATTTCTCGAGCCCTGAGTCTCGTAATAAGTGGAGATGTAAGACAAGGCCATACAGTTACAGTGAAGGCCATGAGGGTTTGGTACAAAGCAGTAGGTCTGGTAATGGCCGATGAGCAGCTTCAGAAAACAGACAATGATGTGGCAGCTGGAGATCTAGGGCCGGTTGAGAAGCTTGTTGTAAAGAGAAGTCCATCCTGGTGCAAAACCACATCCCAGCGCCTTGCTTTGGTCTTACAGAAGATCATTTCTTGCACATCTGCCCACCCGCACTGGAGAGTCAGACTTGAGTTGGTCAGTCTATCCCATTTTCTTCTTTCTCAGTGTAGCCAGTCTGTGGGTGAATGTGTCGGTCCTCTTCTGGAAGCATTGGTAGGTGCTGTTAACGATGAGGAGCCTGAGGTTAAGCACAGGTGCAGTGCGGCATTAGATGAGGTGGCACAAATGGGTCAAACCAATGGCAGACAGGACTTTACTGATATTCTATCTGAAAACCTCCACAGCTTGGCATCATCC